GTGAAGGAACCTGGAACTAAGCTGGAATCTTCAGCCGAACTATTATTAGTCTGAGTTATTACTGACCTCTGGGTGCTACATCAGGAGGCAGGCAGAGCACAGGAGGAAAGCACCGCCCCACGGCTGGAAAAACGTCTTGTGGGGTGGAGGGTACACACGAAGCACAACTAAGAGGCATCGATCTGACTAAACTTCCAAATTTCTTTCACCAGTGATCTCCACGGAGCTCGGAGGAATACATTCCCTTACAACTAAAAATGAGTTCAAGACGAGCCACCCAAACAGTGTCAAATAAATTTCACCTCAAAGATCTAGAAACAGTTGCAGTTACCACTTACAAATCTCCTTTGGGAAGGATGAATCTCAGGGTCTCCCATGGTCCTAAGCTCATTTCCCACCCAGTCAATGCAACAAACATTTGTTTATGGTCCAGGGGACAAGGGGACCTCAGAAGCTTCAGTTCTAGTGGGGAAGAAGCAGACAGAAATGACATGTCAACACAAATTTACTTGAGGCCAAAGTGTGAGAAAGCGTTACAAAATGTTACAAGGTGCTACTCGAGAGATCACATATGAAAGTCATGAGCAAAGGCTTTGTGGAGAAGGCAGCAACTGAAGTGGCCTTTGAACAGAAAGTATTTCCACAGGAAGAGGAGAAGGATGGAAAGATGGGAAGTTGCGTGGCGTAGAATGAGGAACCTTTAGGGAGTAAGTGGCTGTCTTATCTGGCCAGAGCACAAGACACAAGCACAGATGTGAGGCTGGGAGAAGAGGCTGGAGTGGCAGTACTACCAGAGGGGCCTTGAATGCCACCTCAGGAGCTTCCATGCAACTTCTGAAGACTTCTGAGCACGAAACAGATCCAATCAGATAAATACTTGAGAAAGGATAAAACTCATCTAGGATCCTATTGACAAAAGTGGGTATAAAATAAGTGAGGATTTTAACAAATAAAAAGACTGGGTAAAATGGGAGTTAAAGAAGGAAAAATCAAGCCCTGGCTGGTATAGCTCAGTGGATTGAGCTCGGGTCTGTGAACCAGAGGATCACGGTTCAATTCCCAGTCAGGGCACATGCCTGGGTTGCAGGCCAGTTACCAAAAAGGGATACACAAGAGGCAACCATATACTGATATTTCTCTCCCTCTCTTCTTCCCTTCCCCTCTAAAGATAAATAAATAAAATCTTAAAAAAAAAAGAAGGAAAAATCAAAAGCTAAAGTTTGGGAGACACTGGGGGATATGTTTAACAAAAAGATATTCAGAGAGACTGGTGTGGGAGAGGAAAATGACCAAGTCAACTGAAAATCTTAGATGAGATCTTAGGTGACTTTAACACCAAAGACACATACAGAATAGTGGCAACGTGAGTCCTCTAGTCCACTTTGGTACTAAGAATGTAGGGACAGGGCCTTTTGCATATGTTGCAGAAACCTAGCAGTTTCTGTCCTGCTCCTGTGGGGTTAATGCAGCTCGGAAAACACTTCTGAGAATTCTTCCTTGACCCTTTCCCCAGATGGGATCAGCCTGTTACAGGTTTCATAGAAGAGCTCCTCTCTGTCACAGCTCTCATCTCAATTGTAATTAGGCGTTTATTTTTTGTGATTGTTTGATTAATGCTGTCTCTCCATCACTAGGCTGTGAGCTCCCAAAGGGTACCCCATGCGTGATGTGCAGCAAGTCTTGGTGAAGTCTGTGGAAGAAGAGAGGAGGCAGGTGACCATCTAGATTTTAGTGAGCAGATGGTGTAGGAACCCGAAATCCCACCCTATGAGATAGGGCTGAAGCATGGACATATTCAGCCGGAAGAGACGCCTCGTGGCAGATGGTGGTCTCCACAGATATCTGAGGAGCTGTCAAGAGGATGATGGATGAGTGGCGTGCTGTGTGGTCTCAGGGGGTAGGAAAGAACCAGGATTGATGGGTAGAAGTTCCAGGGAGACAGATCTCAGCTTAAGGCCTGGGAGATTTCACACAGCTGGAGAAAATGGACTGCTCTAGGCAGCAGCGAGTCCCGTCACAGATATGCCTCACTTGGTCAGAGGCACTGGCCACTTGGTGAGGCTACCGTAGGAGACCTACACGGCAGATGAGCATTTACTATAGTAGATGCATTTCAGGGTCCCTCCAGCACCCACGGAACTCTTCTGGCTGTATCACTTTTAAGAGGCAGTGATCCATCTGGGATCCACACGATCCCTCAAGCTCCCTGTGCTAGAGGAGCTTATCTCCCTTTGCCCCGTGGGTTTATTCCTTCCCGCACACGCTTCAGCTTTCAGTGTGTCGGCCTCATTCCAAGGAAGCTCCACCCTTCCAAATTTTGGTCATCCTTTCCATGTTTGCCCATAACCCACTGCTCTGTCTTCACAGCATTTATCATTAATCACAAACAAAACTAAAGAATTCATTGTTCCCAGAAGGTCTCCATCTTATCAGTAGCCACCCACCCCACCCCCAGGCAGGAAAGGCTAAACATTCTCTTGCCCGAGGCATGTCCAGCATCCGGCACAAAGCCTGACACACAATTCTTGCTCAAACACCCAGGAATAGCCATCCATGTATTTCAACTGCTATTTCTCAAAGAATGACACTTTCAAAGCCTTACTACCTTGCGCACCCAACTCTGAAGATGCTGGTTTGTGACCCTTTCTCTTAAGTGTCTTAGACCAGTGCTGTTCACAGTATGGTCTGCAGACCGCTGCTATTGTGAATTCAGTAAGAAACCTTTATGTAACAGTCAGTTCATGACTCTTGTACTCAAAAGTTGGAATACGTTGTTAACCCCCTGCCCCATTCATCCTGTGTGCAATGAGAGTGTCAATCTGCGGTACTAGGAGAAAACTGGTCTGTCACCACAGCGAGGTGAGCAGCAATGCCTGGGGCAGTGTTACTTCACTAACCAGAAAGAACAGTTACTAATTAGTGGACTGATAAGGGAGGAAGACTGTAGAGCGCTGATCCTGGCGACAGTGGAAAAGTTCATTCTGCCTTCTGGTATTGCCTCCATCTTGCTCACATAAAGTGCAAAACATAAAACATACATTTTAACTGTTTTAGACAGCAATAACCCCCCTGATCCAGAAACCAACAGCCAATGTCCACCTGACCCAGAGGAGAAGCGCACCCTCACATGTGAGAACCTCACGACTTTGTCACTGTGCCCAATGTCCTTGTCTGGGGCATCTCATATCCTGTTTACACCGCAAACAAAATCCAAGGTGCTCACAAGCCAAGCGCATGAATATTTTGGCTCTAATAAGCATGACACCAGTACTGTCATTCACTGAAGGTTTAAACTTTGTGTCTAACCATGCTATTGACACATGCGATGTTGTGTACACACACACACGCACACACACACCCCATTATAAAGAACCAGGTCTCTAGCCTTTGAGCACGGTGGTAGTGAAGCTCCGCCCACCTTCCCCTTCACATATCATGTTCAAGGTGGGGTCCTGACAGTGGGGCACACCTCCATACCGATGACTCTTGAAACTGGCTTTCCTTAATGGTTGGTTAAATTGGCTTTATTTGCTCATTATTTCCCCAAAGATTCATCAATGATTATTAATGATTGCCTTTTATCACAGCATTACTTGTCATTTACCCACTCAACAGCCAGTAGGATACACAACGGCTACCCCGTCAAAAACACGTATTTAAAAGCACCCTAGGTGTTCTGGGACATCGCAGGCTGGACAAAAGGGGGCATGCCCAAGAAAACAGACAACGCAGGAGGAGTTCGTGGGTATTTAGTCGGAAGGAAGCTACCAGCCAAGTAAATTTGCGACACTGCCCCACTCCCCAGTCCCGCTCTTCCCTGGGCCTTGATGTCGCCTAAATTCTTAACACCTCTACTAGTTCTTAGTGTAGAGGAAAGCCTCATATTATCATCAATCAAATCACTATCAGATAGATATTATAATGCGTGAAAAGTGGAATGACAGAAATCTGCTTGCCTAAAAGTAGGTGATGAGGATAAAGAATTCTATTTTTTTTTTCATGCTCCTAGTTTAGTTGAAACGAGGCTTCAATCAAAACCACACAAGGATGACCAGGTAGTTGAATGGACCACTCAAAATAATGCAATAATAACATGCGCTTTCAACTTCGTGTGTCCCCTTGCGAGCACACAAAGGGAAAGGGTACAACAAAAACAAACTGAAGGCCTATGACATGCACCGCTATTTAGAAAAAGCAGCGAAGTTGGAGCAGGCTTGCTGCCATCTCCCACCCCAGGGGAAGTACACTCCTACCCCAAAGTACTTGCTAAGAAAGATGTGTTTCAATTTTGCTTTGCACAAAAACTGAAAACTTTAGGAATTCTTTGAAATCACATTTCTAACGACTAACATGATGGAATGCAAGTGATTTCAAGTGACCCTGGAAGAATAATCAACGGGGGTTTTTCCAATTCTGAATGTTCCTTGCCCTTAACCTCTCTTTCTTGCTTCCTTACACAGCCATACTGCGCTTTGTAATTCTGGGCCTCTCAGCTAATCCTTACTTGGGGATCAAACTACCCTTAACACAACTCTCATCTCCACCAAAATAAGAAAAAGGGAGCATCGAGCTGGGTAAAGAGACAACACATTTCAAATTCCTGAGATTTCAAGAGTACCTGACAGCTTCTGCCCCTGACACAGCCCTGCTGGAAACCCCTGCGGCTGCCCTTTAACCCCACAGCCCAGCAGAGAAGTTTTCTGAAGATGGGTCAAGGGAGGCGGGCCAGCCGCCTCTGGTTCGTGCACCCCTCCTCACCCTGGCTCCAACAGTTTCTCTCCAGAAATAACTAAATGCATGAGCTCACCCACAGTGAGAAGACAGAGGCATGACACCTACAAGGTGCCTATTTATAGAAAGTGTTAACACTCCTCAGGAAAAGACACTAGAAATCTCCTTGGAAACGCCCAGGCCTGTGCTCCCGTTGGAATTCTAGTCTGCTAATAACCATGACTAAGGAACCGCCTTGAAAATAAAACTGAGGAGTTGGAGGTACTTACGGTTTCCCCCCAGGGATTCCTGCCAGGTTGGGAGGGATCGTAGGGACTCGCATGTGAGGGGGAGGATCAAATCCAACCTAGAAACAAAATAGGGCGGACTGAGTTTATACAGGGTAGGCACTTTGTGAACATCTCCAAACACTGCTTGCCTGGAAACTCATAGATCTCCAAAGCAACATAAACAGGAACAGCAACATGTGCTGACATTTTCCAAAGGAAACACTGTAACACAAGAAGTGATAGAATCACCTCTAACTACTACGAGACACACTTCTTTTGGCTGAGGTGGAACGGAAGATGATGCCTCGTGTACTGGGCACCAGCCTCCCATGGCCGACAGAGTCGACTCTCAGTTTTCAAACTTAATTCATTCTGGAGAAGTACTCAAAAAGCGATTTGTTCAAAAACCAAATCTCCTTTATTGCTTGAGAAACATGTGACTGATCATACAGGTATCAGCAGGAAAGGGTTGTCAGTTGAGAACCCAAGTTTTATTTGACAACCAAGACATTTTTATCATGAACAACTTGGGTAAGAACTTAAGTGCTTGAAATGGGAGATGTTTGAGAACCGAGGTTTGGCTGTACTTGCTGCGGACACAGGGTGGTCTGCCTTGTCCAAGCAAGTACACCGAGCGGTATTTCTCAGCCTCAACACTATCGATGTTTAGGGCCCAATGGTTTTTTGTTGGGAGCCGTCCTGGAGGAGGCGGGATGAAGTTCAGCAGCATCCCCAGACTCTACCCTCTAAGTGCCAATCTCCAGGCATCACTAAATGTCCCTAGGAGGCAAGAATCGCTCCCCCGTTTCACACCGCTGGTCTAAGTTAATCCTTAAGAATTCATACATGATGTTGTGCACATTAATGACAATACCTAGTCCCTCAGCTGCCCACTTTGCTTTGAACTATCCTGTCCTGTAATGCACAGCCTTTCCTGCTAGTGCAACATAAGGGAAGAACCAATGAACTTGACTCTCAGTCCAAGTTATTTGAAGAGAGAGAGGAGAAATGCACATGATATATTTCAAACAACTAGGAGAAAATATTTATAGACTTTTCTTTGCTATGGGTTATAATCTAACCCCTCCTCCTTATTTTCATTCCTTTTTTTTCTGTTCCTGCCTGCTGCACTGAGATCACTTCTTACAACTAAGCCATGCTATTGGGTTTAAAGGATAATACAGGCATGGAAAGAGAAAGTTACAGCTTCTCAAATATTTTTTTCTAAGAATTAAAGAGGGGGAAAAAAACCTTTCAAGAAAACGAATGAAAAGGCTTCTGTACACTACTTGAGCCATTTCATCGCCTTCCAAAAAAAAAAAAAACTACTTTGGTGGGAGAAAACCAGATGTCCCCTGAACCGCTAAAGCAGCTCCTAAACACTGCCTTTTTTCATCCACAAAAAACAGTAAAGCAAAAAGCGTTTGGCCGAAACGGAATGAAGCGGCATGTGGATGAAGGCGAACAAGACGAAGGTGGCAGGAGAAGACACTGGGTCTTTGTTTCCAAGGCGTGGGGGCTGCCACCCCATGGTCCCCTGCCCGCTATGTTCCACAGTCACCTACCATGGGGGAGCGCCCATAGGCCACCACGGCTGCAGCAGCAGCAGCTGCGCTCATCTGCGGGGACATGTTGTGGAGGCTGGCGTAGGCGGCACCAGGGCTGGTCAGCTCGCCGTTCATGCCAGCGTGGGGGACCATCCCAAACGGGGCGGGGTACGGGCCAGGCACTGCCAGGGGCGTCCTCAGGCCAGCCGCTGCAAAGAAGCACAAGCCGCGCGTGACTGCAGGATCACTTTCAGTGCCATTCATCAGGGGGAAGGAAAAGGAGGGGGTGCTGTGGGGGTGGTCAATCCCCTTCAGTTCTATACAGCATCCCTTCTTCCCCAGAGCTGAATTCATCTCCAGAAGGAATAGACCCCGGGAAAGCACTGCCCACGTGTTTCCTCCTTGGTAGCACTGGGAAATCAGGAGGAATTAAGCAGTATTATTGCACCCAATTCGCACAAGGCAAACTGAGGCACAGATACTACCTACTTCTCTGACAAAAGGTGTTCTTGGTAAAATTCAAGATTTCTGTCCGATCCTTTCATTCCCTGGGACCAATTCCAAATGAAAACCCGATCCTGGATTTAGGTAAACCAAAGCATGAGTTTAGAAGGAATATGTGCTGGTGCCTCTTTTCCTTTGGGCCCTGGGTGTTAGTTTTCTCCTCTCCCAGTGAGGAAGATCAAGTTGAGAGTTATGAGTATATTCATAGGCTGGGGTCTCAGTGAAACTACCCCAATTTCTACAGAAGGAGAGGTCCTTGATTTCTGGTGGACTGGCAGAAAACCAGCCAACAAAAGTAAGCGAGACAGGCAGTTTCAGTCAATATTAGCAAACTTGAAACACACAATGACAGTTTGAGAAGGAGCTTACATTCAGAATAATTATCAGAAATGTTATTGAAGTCCCTATGATTTGGATTATTTGGAAATAAAAGAAAAGCCAATGTACACAGTTGGAGATCGACACAGGGTACAGCTGCTGAAACCCAAGGATGAACATCTGTTTCTTATCATGGCTTTTCAGCGATAGGACAGAGGGAGGGAGGCAGTGACTACATTCCACGTTCAAGGGGAAACTGCGTCACAACATGAACAGATGACGAATCAAGCTGGGAAAAGAAAAACAAGACAAAGCACAACAAGAGGCGATGCTCTACCCGCTTGGTTAACGAGGGGGTCCATGGCTGGAGGCTTGCCGAGGCCTGGACGGAGTCCTGGAGTGGCGCTGGTGCCCGGCGTTGGCATGTCGCTCCGAGGTGTCGGTGTGCTGGATTTCAGGACAGGCGTGCTGGCTTTTTCATGCTGGTATCATTAAACAAATTAAATGAGTATTATTTTTAATCCAAGCCATATTACACAATTTATCACAACAGCAGCTGGGACACTGGGCACCTTCTAGCTACTCCCTCAGCCAATTTTCATAAATCCACACAATGTTGACAGCATTAACTTGTGAGCGAGAAATGCTGACCTTTCCTCTTCCTGCCAGAGGCAAAACTCTAGCTAGAGACACAGAACACAATCACACTTCTTCCTCCGCAGATTTTATTTTAAAAAGTATTTTTCCATCAGGCTGGTAGACTTTGGATCTGGGCCAAGTTAGAAAGGTGACCAGCCACCAGAGGAAAGCTCCTGGTCACTAGGAAACAAATGCCTGGTCACCGGGAATGTCAGAGGGATGACCCCTTTTCTAATCTTGCCTTCAGTGGTGGTGGCAGTGAGAGTAATGGTGGGGGACAGCAGGTTGTTGATTCTGCAAGACACAAACCACATCCCAGAGGCAAAAGCCCTTGACTAATCCCATCATGGTGTTTGAGAAATATGCCTAAAATGGGCAGTCCTTTGGAATTAAGCATCAAACCACACTATAAAACCAGTGTGAACCATTAGTGCATGAGTCAAGACAGTAACAGGGCTACAGAGCATCTTCTTTTGCCTCTCAACCTCTCACGTCCTTTAAATCAGTCTGAGAAGAGCTGTGGTGCAGTAACAAAGAACGTGGGCTAGACAGAGACCCCAGCTCTGCCTGGCTTTGGATCCAACGGGCTGTACAAACCGGCAAGTTCCTCGGACTTTCCTCCCCATCAGTGAAATAGCATGAGGACAGACACTGCGTAAGGATTAACTGCAGAGCTGTTGTCATGGCTCAGTTATTGTGAGTTAGGAGGTGGCACACTCCACAGTGTTTGCTAAATGACTGTGAGCATGACGGGCTCTGCTCCAGCCCCCGCCACCAGTTCCAGGCTTCCCTCGGGGATGCCTTGTGTACAGCACCAAACTGACCAGCCAGCCAATCACAACCTGCTCTGACAGGATGACTCAAGTCTCAAACCAGGTAAAAATGGACACCTGAAGAAAACAAGAACTTCTCAGGACATAAGCGGTTTGAGATATATGCTAATTGGGAAATTTCAAAGAGCCTGTGCTGGGAAAATATCCCCTACGTAAGAAGTCCATGGGTATGGAAGCTTATCTCTCCCTTGTCATGGCCCAAGAGACAAGTGAGAGAGAGAAGTAACACTGTTGTCTAGGAACAAAGAGTAGAAGAATGAGTGTCGATTTTAGACGCTCAGAAACAGAACTCTCAATCAGTGAAAACCCCGCGTTTCAAATATGTTAGGGTCCTCTGGTCCACAAAAAAAAAAAAAGAAGAAGAAGAAAATGAAAAAACAAACAATAACTGAACTGCTAAACAAGCAAATGCAGGCAAGTAAGAGTTCTAATTACCTACCAAGCTCATTTCTTTGGATTTCAGAGAAGTGGAACTTCCAGAAGAGGCCGTGGACGCTGGGCTGCTCGAAGCATCCTTCTTCAGCAGGCGGTTTTTGTCGATCCCATTTTCCCTGGGTGAGTGGGCGGGGCTTGCTCTCGGAGACGAAGGGTCCTCAACAAGCACAAGCAAAGTTTCCGTGATTTGCTTACAATGGACAGTTCTTTCCCTTACATACTTATCTCCACATTAATTCTCTAAAGTAAATGAAATGCTGATATTCCTTTAGATTTAGGAGACTTGAAGGTACGCACAGTAACACTGCTCTAATTTTAAAAATGGTGTTTGCAAGTACACCCAATTACACACCATAAAAAAGAAAAAAACTATAGGAATAAGCATATCCCTGGCTCGTGCTCAAATATTTGGCCTAGTGGGCACGGGAAGAAAATGAGCACCAGACACCCAACTTAAGAATCAAAATGATTAGGGAAACCAACTTTCCTTTTTTAAGGAAACAAAAGTTCGGGTCAGAGCGTTACCACTCTATCCATGAACAACCGTTAAGTTCTTAGTGTATAAAGGAGCAAGAAACCACACACTGTGGCTCCACTCTTCCTCACAAGTCACTCTGAACACAAAGTTTGATAAAGAGAACAGTTACCTCATTAGACACATCCACAACTAAATTGTCATCACTTTTGTCACCATCACTGTCCTGGAAAAACAAAAGTTTTAATGCCATTTATTTAAGGTTTGAGGCTCAGTTATATTTCTTTAGTTCTTGGTATCAGGCAGACTAAAACACTGCCTGGGATATGCCTAAGGGCTCCCTCCCAGATTGCCAGCCCTAATAATTAATCTCCTTCTCCCCTTCTTATCTGACCTGAGGCTACACAAAGCCCCAGGCAGGAATTCTTTCTCAACAGAACACCACTTACTGTAATCACAGCCAGCACAAGAAGCTTGGCACATCAGAAGGGCTCAATAAATAAATGTTTGCAAGCTGAATCTCCCTTATAATCTGAAATCCACATTATATCAGAGGTCTTTTCCCATTAGATGTCAAATTAAAAACACCATTTCACGTCACTGCTTTTTACCTTGAGGATAACCAACAAATCTAATGTTTAGACAATTCACAGTTATAAAGACAAACCATATTCCTGAGGATTGACTAATTATTGCAAAAATAAGATCAAGCAAGCAAAAAACTAATAAAAAACAAAGGTAGTTACTGGCCTGAATAACATACCAAGATCTGAGCTCATGTTAAGATTAAATCTCTTTAGCAACCAGCTGGGGATATTTTTGGAGAGATGGAAGGAAGACGGGACGGCAGTAATCACGGGGCACCAGCACCCTGCAGTAGGGCTCTCACTGTCTCTCCATAAAGCCATACATTTTGGTCACCAGAGGGAACTCCAAGGTTGCACTGAGTTTGACAAAGCTTCAGAGAAGCTGTCAATTTGATGTGAGGCAGTGATGTGATCACTCCTACAAGTCTGAGGCAGGCTGAAAAAGGCTACTTACTTTCTTAGCCAAAAGGGCTGAGGACCTTTAGTGCAGAGTAACACAGCTGAGCATATGGGAAAAGCAGGCTATCGCGACAGGTCCTAATTCTCAACAAGAAATAGACTCATAGTTTATGATCTAAACTGTCCTTTTACTGATGTCACTTATCAATTAAGAATATACAAATATTAGAGAAATATTAGTATAGTGCAAATATTACCCACATTTACCTTCTGCTTCCCTTTATATAAACCAAACTGGCAAAAAGGAACAAACAATTAATTTATTACAACAGACCTCTGAAGAGAGTCCTTCAGTATTCTGTAATGTAAATCTTAGCTCTGTATTGAACACTTCCGCAAACACAAACCTTGACAGCACAGTGCACATGCCTGTTACAGGTCTGAGGCCTCTGCCCCGGCTCCTTCCACATCACCTGAATACATCACTCTCAACCACAACTAGACCTACACGCATGTTACAAAACAGTCATGCAGAGATATATATGGATTGTAGCTCACTCACTAGTCCATAATTTACACACGAGTGGAACAACTTGGAATTGTAACCAAACTTCTGCATGTAATGGACCATAGTGCCAGTTTATTAACAGTTAATACTGTACATAGTAAAGCACCTGTACAGGGTGCTGGCTCTGGGAAAAAGACAAGGGACAAACATTATGTGCTGAAAAGCCTGGGCTGGTAAGGACCAAAACCCTAGGTTCTTAGGATATTATTATAGGGTCTCTGACAAAATATCCATCTTGATCCCTTGGTTGGGGAATCCTAGCATAATGATTAAGAGATGGGTGCTTGAGTCAGACCGCCTCCAGGCTCAGCCACTAACTCTGACCTTGGGCAAATCACTTACAAGGTCTGTGCATCAGTTTCTTGACAAAATGAAGGTGACGGTACTAAACTCACAGGGTTGTTTTAATAGTTAGATGAAACAATCTGTGTACAATAAAAGCACCCAGCAGCTGACACTAACTTGAGCTACTGCTTAAGAAATGTTACCCATTGTTAGTGACAGGCTTGAGCCAGCTGTAAAGAGACAGAGAGGCCTCACGTGGAAACCTCTGCACAGCCTGCACACCAGCCAGCCAGAGGCAGACCCTTCTTCCTCCAGGAGCAACAGGAAGTGGCCTAATTCTGCTTTCTACTCCCATACTCTTCCTGAGAACGTGTTTATCCTGAAATAGACACTGAGGGACACACAAGGAAACTCCAAGTTATCCGTCAGCTGCAATATTCATGACATCAAGAACACAGCCAACAGCCACTTGGCTTGTATGCTCCAATGTTTCTTCCATTTTTTCCACTTAACTGTTTGCTGTAGAACAGAACGAACTCTGCCTCAAGACCTAATGCAAACCTGAATATACTATCAGAATGGCATCCAAAAAGGGTGTTTTGTGTCACCACAAAGCTTCCCCTGATCACGTTAGCAGCACACACTGCCAAATCTGCAAAGCCCAGGGCGAAACGATAATGCAGGCCCCTGTTCGAAAAATGAGAGTTTGAAAATAGCTAGAGCACAGCATTAAAACCAAGGGAGAGACAGGGTCCTCTTACAACCAGGGCCTGTGGAACGGCACAGACTGCATGCCAGTGAAGCCAGCCCTGCCTTCTATCCCGGCTTGAGTAACTAAGGCAGAAAGACTAAAATTTAATACTGAGCCTGGCAGAAGCATCATTTACAGCTCTAGAGGAAAATAAAATCCTGCAATGTAAGGATATATCCTCTTCATAGTATTATTTTAAGGGATATGGATTATCCCTAAGATCATACAGTATGCTTCTATACTCACTTAGAAAAAAGTAAGCAACAAATTATTATTATTTCAAGTCCTTTATTCACTTACATAGTGGCTGGAGTCCTTATCATCCACCTTTCTTTTTTTGATGTCATTGGAAAATTCAGGCCCATTTCTGCGTTTATCTGTACCTCTTAGACTGTCTGGGACCAAGAGGGAATTACTCTGCAAGACAAAAAATTAATCAAAGATTTCTTCCCAGGTCTCTTTGCACACGTGAAAACCCAACCTGAATGTGATAGCTGTTTTAGAAAGGTGATACCTACACGGCTTTACATTCCATTTAAATCATCTCATCTGAAGACTCGGCTGGCAAACACTTAGAGAACTTGAAACACTTAGAAGGGAGACCCTGGCTACGCAATCAAACCATTCTTCAGGCCCTACTCACTTAAAATGTACTGTTGTGTTAACTGTTGGAGAAATGGGAGCTTGCTGTTTATACGAGGATGTGTTTTTATTCTTTCCCACAGTGAGTTCCTGCTCAGGAACATGAATGGTCTGTGAGTAAAACCTGAGGTTATTCTATCAGACTTACTCTGGGATGGCAAGAGTCAGTGTGTGTTTCTTAAAAAAAAAAAAAAAAAAAAGCAAAGAGAATAGGTGGGGTTAATAGCATGGTTTCCTAAAAGACAAATCAACACTTTCCACAGCAACAATGAAGAAACTCCTTTGAATTCTTTTAATTTATTGTTGAAAGTACGAGTTGATGTTCCTCGCCAAAAGCACCGAAATTTAAGACCCAGAGGGAATTTCAGCCAGTGAATCAATAGCCAGGCCAGTTCCCACACATAAAAGCAGCAACAAGGACTAATCTTTTCCACAAACCACACAGGATACTTTCATTTGCTTGTGCATGAGTATGAACTGTTGACCCAAAGAAAAGAGGTATTTAGTTATTTGGGGGTCACATGGCATGATCTGACAGCCTGTCAATTCCCATCTCCTCTGGAGCTAAAGCATCAGAACTTGTTACAATGAGTTATTTTAAGTGCAGGATTAGCATATGCAAGGGGGCAATTTGTTCAGTGATGTGTTACTGCCTTGAATGCTGAACGAGCTGTGCAAAAACCTTTCACAAAGCACAGATAACCCATTTCTGAAAGATGTTGGAGAACTAAGGGGAGAATGTCTAGGGCCAACAGACAATTGTTACCTTTTTTCCAGTGAAATTTAGAAGAGAAAGGTCTGAGGAAAACCTTTTCATTAGACCACCTCTAACACCACTGGTATGTACCAGAAGCAAATCTTTTGCTCACATTTTTAACAACCATGAGTATTCATTCCTAACTAGGCTTCAGTAAACAGCCAGGTGGCTGGCTCTCAAAACTCCCCAGTGACAACTGTGGACCCCACCACAGGGGCATACACAGCTCAACCACATCCTGGAGGAACCAGAAGGCAATCTGAAACCTCTTTGCCACTTCAGGGAATGACTGACATGAGCTGAGCTTTTCATTTATGACTGCTCAAGCTACACAAATGCCAGGAGGCTTACAGAAAAACAGGGGGAAGGACCAATGCCATTCAATATAAAGAAGCTCAGAGTAATGTCTTTAGCACTGAATGGGGGGGCTGAAAGGTGAGCTAGTTAGATCCCAGAACTAATTACTTGGCAGATGTCTGCTAAAAACAAACTCTTCCAAGCCAGACCCTCATCCCCTGACAAGATGCAGAGGCTTAATAAAAGTTTTGCAAAGTGCTAACACGCACTCAGAAAAGCTGAGCCAAGGAGGGGAGCAACAGCTTGTGCTTAAGTATAAAAAGTGTACAAATACACCTGTCTTACAGAATGTATAGCCTCAAAGTCTCCTCCAGACTCTGAGCAGATACATTTAAGGACAGGGTGTATCGACTGTACGTCTGCCCACATGCTCGGAAGCCCGGCAGTCCACTGGCAATTTCAAAATCTCTCATAAGAGTGTCCAGAGTGTCACCTTCGTTGCCCTTCTGTACCTAGCACAGGGCAACCAAACCACTAAGCCATTCAAAGACAGATTTTAATCATCGTACTTTTTTAACTATGTCAAGTGGTATTAAGAACAAAGAAATAAATGACACTCCTCTTACGAACCACAGAATTTTTGTTAGAAAAAAATAGCATTCCCATAGCTAGACCTGTAATAGAAGCATGTCGAGTTTTGAGGCCTCCCTGTTATGTGTTAGAAGTTACTACTGTAATTCCTGCTTGAGCAGCTTCAGTGAGACTTACAACCTGAATGCATTCTTGAGGAAGCTCTGAAAAGTTCCTCTCAATTTGTACAGGGCTAGCAATTAGCACCCCTGCTTATATGAAAATTGGCCCCACTCAAATGGCAGATTGAGACAAGTTACGAAATAAAACATCTCATCATATCCTTGGTGCTGTAAAACTGATTCAAAACAAGGCAGCGAAGAGTATGGGCTGGAAAGGCTGGAGAGCCACAGTTAGGAGCCAGGGGGTTCCTGGCTCACACTGCAGCCCCACCGAAAACGGACCACTTTCTTTTGCCCTGGTCCCCATGAACCCAGTTTTCTGTGTGTAATCGCCCCTGACGACCTCCCAGCTCTGACGCTGCCTTGTTCTTGATTTAAGCAAATAGTTCCAGTCTAATGAACTTCACGACAGCAACAACAACCTTTTGGTTAACTACTGCCTAAGTGACCTTGAGCTTCATGGTTCCTACATTTGCAGCCCAGGAACACAACCGAAAGTGATTCCATGGGTGTTACTTACTAGATGTCTCACGTTACGGTAAATCTGTTTCTCTCATGCTGTGTTTTTCCCCATGCATCATCTAATGGCTCAGAGGTGGAATACAGTCGTTTTGATGGTCATTCTGGGCCATTTTAACATATTTTAAGTACACGGGCACTGACTGAATATGAATATCCTCCGGATCCTTCAAAATTCAGGGCTCTATCTTGATTTGTTAGATTCAGACTAAGATAAAAAGGTAAAATCACATTTCACACTAACTAACAATTAATCAACAATTAACTAACAAGAGGCTATGGCAATAGAATAAGACTGAGGCTGCTTCACTTTGTCATTATTTAAAAAGTCATGCATTGTAAACACAGATCTGCCCAAAGTCAAGAAGCTCTTCCCATTAAGTCAAAGGGCCATCGCCCCGATAAGAGTGATTTCTAAACTCAATTTATGTACTTGAATACTTCTACCCAAATACTTGGCCTCGAATACTTATCACTTACAAGTCACACTAGCTCTTTAGCCCATGAAGCTTAATTAACATTCTAATGGGCAGAATAATGTGTAATATATACTGCACGCCTTCTCTGTTCCCCTCTTCTAAACACAAAACACACACCCTGATTCACTCAGTCATTTGTCCACAATACCAAGAATGTGAACATAAAATAAAAAATGAGCATTTCACAGTCTACTTTAAAATGACCCTGAAAATGACCTAAATTTCTATATTTGCTTTCATGAGCCCTACCATTTATAACCCAAGATTTACACACACAAAGAACTCAGCAGACAACAAAGCAGCCCAGGGGTACCCACTGGGCCAGTTTCACGTGGCAGTGACCATGGCTGGTAGTAATCCCACAGACCCAATTACACCACAGACCTCTCTTCCTAGAGTCCATATTTTGAAAGATTTTAATTTCCCAAACAGCACTCTTCAAGTACGGTTCCTTTTTCCAAGAGTTATTTGCCAAATAAATATTTAATCATGAATCAGTTTTTTTTTATCAGCATGAGAACTAGTGTTACCACATTGACTGACATATTCTAATTCCAGCCAAGAAGCTCAATGTTTTATTTCACCTCACAGCTGGTAAAATTTAAATATCTGCCAGAACTTTTCAAACACTATAATTATAAAGCAGACTTCTACAAAAAAATGTCCTGAGGGCTGGGATTTCCAGACTGTATGTATGTTTTTCGTTTTTTTAAAATTTCATTAAGAACAAAAAATCGTTTTATTTACCTTAGATCTTCTTTAAGAACTCAAAATAGAAGTTTTATGCAGCCCAACAGGGGATATTTAAATCTAAGCAAATCGAGATCAGGAAACACATTATGATTTCTAAACAAAAATTCTAAAACCATGATGCTTTTCTGCACCTTTTGTGTTGCATGCATGGGTATAGAGCCAAGTAAAACGATAAAGGGAGATACACATCCAACCCATCGCTGAAGAAAAACGAGCGCCCTGGAATACTCAGTACCAGCGACATAAACAGGGTTCAGAAGACCTACTCTCCCAAAGGGCATGACTTTCTCTATTTTTTGCTGAAACCATACATGAAATGAATACATGTGGTGCTCAGACAGAGAAAACATGCTCCACAAAAAGCGTGTTTTCCTCTCCCTCTTAAGAATCATCTGTGATTCTCTGGGAACGTAGTCTCAGTGGGCCTCTTCACTGGCAACAGGGAAATTGTTCACCATGACTAATATGTGCCTCCTGAGGGTCACATTTTGCACTACAAGTGATATGATGGTGGAGTCCACTAATGAGAGCGAAGGTCTCTCCTAACTCAGAGAGAAAAGAAAAAGTAGCAGATCTTCCAACATCACAAACAGTGTGCACGCCTTAAATCCAGAGCACATTTTCCTAATTGGTTAAATGTGTTTTGTAAAAACACACACCAGGAACCCTCTCTGCCACAGTTCAATGAAATCCCATTAACTAGACAGTTGGTAGAGAGTCTGAACCTAGTGAGTAGAAGTAGACAAAGCAGTCTCTTCAAATAAAGCAAAAGCAAACATTATTAAACCATACCTTCATGTAAGAACTTACCATGTAAGCAGAAGAGTCTGTTAAACCTCAGAGAGCTTGCAGGTGAATCAAAAGAAATGTCAAGATTTGGACTTGTGTTTGGTGCCTTTATTCGGACCATTCAGGATACTGTTTTTATTTCATGCTCCAATTACCCACTCAAGACTAAGATAGGACCCAGCCACTTCAATATGCATAAAACCAGTCTTTAGAGTCTTATTCCAATAACTTTACTTTTCTTTTAGCAGTTTAACAGTAATAGTTGTTCATGTAAGCTGAGATATTTTGGAAGGCAGACTACAGAAAATATGAAAGAAATCAAATTTAGTGAAATGTTACACTGTCAGTGCTATCGGAACAGTTGTTACGAAGCCTTCATGTATCCCTCATCTGCTCTGGGGCTGCAGAGCAACTCTTCTGCCTACCAAA